ACGAGACAGTAGATGGTGGTACTAAGTCCAGTAGGAGCAGAGGGGTAAAGAACAGTTAAATAAAGGCTCTTCTGAAGAAGAAGGTTTTGAGTCTGGATTTGAAGGAGTTTAGAGCAGGTGACTCTCTGATATTCTTGGGGAGAGAGTTCCAGAGCTTGTGGCAAATCAGGAGAAGGCCATGTCACCCAAAGAGTGTAGACGGACTGGGGGACAAATATTTGAACACAATTAGAAGAGCGAAGGTTGTGAGGTGGGGAGTAGAGCGATAACTCAGACAGGTACTGAGGTGTCAAGCCATGGAGAGCCTTATAAGTGAGCAGGAGGATTGTTAAGTTGACATGAAACTTGACAGGAAGCCAGTGCAAGGACTCCAGGATAGGAGTTATCTGAACACTTGCAATAGACCTGGTCAGGATTCCGGCTGCCGAATTTTAGACATACTGGTGTTCGTTCAATGTGGATTTAGAAACCCCAGAGAGTAGAGCATTACAGTAGTCGATTCAAGATTAGACAACACTTTTCAGCCACAGTTAGTGATAACATAGAGCGTAGTCAGGCAATATTTCTGAAGTGAATGAAAGATGTTTTGACAACATGCCGCACATGTGGGTTGAACGTCATATATCATCTCCAAGTTTTTCCAATATAGACTGAAGCTCAAGTATAAGACAATCTACAGATAGAGTTATAGCATTGGTTTTACAAAGTTGATGGGTGGTGCCAATAAGCATGACTTCAGTCTTGTCACAGTTAAGATGAAGAACATTTTGAGTCATCCAATATTTTATATTGGAGATGCAACTAAATAGAATAGAGACAGCCCCATCAGCGTCAGGTTTGGTATGGATGTATATTTGAGTATCATCAGCATAGTAGTGTAGTGTCAAACAAATGACAAAGTTCAGGTGTCTGTGAAGCAGAAGTCCTTTTATTCATATGTCCGGCTTGCGACCACCAGACTTAAAAAATAAGTAGCTGAAGATGGTCCTTAATACCTTAAGACACAAAAAGTTACAATGACATATTCTAAACAAATGATGAAAAACCAACACCTGCCAATTAATTATATCTAAGTTGCAGACTAGACAACAGTTAGTTCTTTACATATTCTGGGCGTACAGCCTGCTTACCAAATGCATGCCCTAATCTTACTGACCAAGGACAGGCAGCATGTTTATATACATTTGAGCACAAAGCCTACGTCAAGCCACTAGACTGTATAGTTTGCAAAAAACATACAAAAACATGAAAATGATATTATTATCCAACTTCCTGGGCATCTCTCTTATCTCTTCATTCTTCAGTAGTGATAGCTGAGGCCATGTGTTTTAAAAAGCTTTACACTACACACACGCGTACTAGTACACTGATGATCAATTTGGGTTGTTTAAACATAGCGGAATAAGTGGGTATAAGGGGATGTTCTGATTTAGCTTTGGGAGAAACCTAACTACCATGTAAAAAGTAAGTCTACTGTAATAATATCACAATCACATTACATTTACATTAACACTGTACTGAGAGAGAGAGGGGTAAATACAGACACTGATTGGACATAACAGCACATTAACACTGCACTGAGAGAGAGGTTAATAGATACATACTGACTGGACACTGCAGCATATTAGCACTGCACTGAAAGGGGTTAATACAGACATGCTGACTGGACAGTACAGTACATTAACACTGCACTGAGAGAGAGGGGTGAATACAGACAGACTGCCTGGACACTACAGTACATTAACACTACACTGAGACAGAGGCATTTATACAGACACGGACAAACTTGAAATGACAGTACATTAACAATGCTCAGAGAGAGGGGGGTAAATACAGACAGACTGACTGGACACTACTGGACATTAACACTGCACTGAGAGAGAGAGGGGTTCATACAGGCACACTGAGTGGACACTACAGTACATTAACACTGCACTCAGAAAGGGGTTAATACAGACTGACTGGACACTACAGGACATTAACACTGCAATCAGAGAAAGGGGTTAATACAGACACGCTAACTGACTGGACACAACAGTACATCAACACTGCACGAAGAGAGAGGGGTGAATAAAGACAGACTGACTGGACACTACAGTGCATTAACACTGCACTGAGAGAGACAGGTGGGTTAACAGACAAACTGACTGAACACTACAGTACATTAACACTACTCTAAGACAGAGGGGTAAATACAGACACTGATTGGGCATAACAGTACATTAAAACTGCACTAAGAGAGAGGTGTTAATAGCGACATGCTGACTGAACGCTACAGGACATAAAGACTGCAATGAGAGAGAGGGGTGACAGACTGCCTGTACACTCCAGTACATTAACTGCACTGAGAGGGAGAGGGGTTGATTCACACACACTGACTGCACACTACAGTACATTAACACTACACTGAGACAGAGAGGGGTTAATACAGACACACTGACTGCACAGTACAATACATAAACAATGCACTTAGAGAGAGAGGGGTTAATACAGACACACTGACTGACTGGACACTACAATGCATTAACATTGTACTGGGAGAGAGTGGTTAATACAGACACACTGACTGGACACTCCAGTAAATGAACACTGCACTGAGAGAGGGGTTAATACAGACACACTGGATTAATATTCCAGAGGAGTTAATACAGACACAGACCCTGGACAGTAATACTTAAACCAATTAAAATATTTTTTATGTACACAATCATTAGTATACATATAAAATCTAGACCAATACAACGTAAATACAATACTTATAAATGTTGTTTCCTAATGACGTTTGATTACAAATTGATTCAGTGGAACAATGTTTGAATGTGAACGAGGTTTTTTCAGCACCGTAACCGGACAAAACAGTTCAGTTTCCAGAAAAGAATCCCGTTGGTACATCACACAAGTCTTTTCCACTTCACTCTGCATCGCTCCACTAAATTCTCACCAGGGAGGAAAGTTTTTTTTTTTATTTGATGACAGTTTTATTGTTAGAACGCGTACTGATAATGAGAATGTTTACTGCTGTAAGATGTTTTCTTTAAAATAAAGTTTGTTATTTAAAAAAATCTCACCAGTGAGAAAGTTATAGACACTGGTTTTAAACACACACACACTGACTTCATACAAGTCACCACACTGACCTGACAACCGTTTCATGTCAACAATATCTATACGTTTTCTTTCCTAAGACGTTGTATTATTCGCTGATTCAGTGAAACAATTGTTTAACCTGAACGAGGTGTTTATAACCGTAACCGGACAAAACAGTTCAGTTTCCAGTAAAGAATCTCGTTGCTACATCACACAAGTCTTTCCCACTTAACTCTGCATCTCTCCACTATATTCGCACCAGTGAGGAAGTTAAAGACACTGTTTTTGAACTAACACACACCTTGACTATATACGAGTCACCACACTGACCTGGCAGCTCCAGTTTCGTGTCCATTTCTTCTTTTATTCCTGCAGTGACTTCACAGGGAAGCGTGTGTCCAACACGATCTGTCGGTCCCTGATCTCCTCCTGCTCCCGACTCCTTCTCCCACAGCTGCAATCTCCACTTCAGGCTCTCGTTTTCCTTCTTCAGCTCCGCCATTTCACTCTCGACACTGTCCTCCACACACTGTGTGATTTTAAACACGGCCCGTCTCACCAGGATCTGGGAGACGCTGCGGAGTTTGTCTTGAAACTCCTTTTCAGAGTCAGACATCCTGTTTCGAAAAACTTCAGACACTTCATACACGATCGATTTGAGCAAAACTTGCATGAAAGAGTCAAGCTGGGTTTGCAGATTTAACAAGCACTCCGCCATCCTTCTTCAGAGCCGATCAGAAACAAAGGCTGATTTCCGAAGTTTAAACAGAACAACTATTTTATTCTTCACAGATCCTGTTGTCGGGGCTGTGATCTGTTCAAGCATAAACACAGTTGACGAGACGTTGAGTATTCATAACCTGAAGTTATTTAAAAAACAACAACAACTTTATTCTTTATCTGAAGAAAATGACTGAATCACCAACACGTGGGTGAAATACATGCAGGGTCGCGCAGTATGATGACGTCTTTCGTTAGCGCGGCCGCGGCTTCAAAACAATTGAGAAGCGGAGCTGAGAAAGAGGAGTTTCTGCAGCCGGATATAATCTTCACTGCACCTCCTAACGCCACCTAGTCAAGAGGAGTGAATCATCTGTGACATTCGCCGTTCATAACGGAACAGATTCATTTTTTTGCCCTTCCACAACCCTCCTCCCCAACGAAAACGTCTCAAGTGGATTTTTGTTCTACATCTCCATATGCAGGTTTTTGGATAAAAAAAAATGCTGTCATTTTCTTGCCAGCTGGCAGAATTTCTTCTGCACCGATAAACACGATTTCTATTTCATATTTCACAAGTGTTTGAATTTCTCGAAAAACAAGTGGTTCCAAGAAAGGAAATAAATACTTGCATTTAACAAAATCAAGCCCTATGTGATTGTCCTTAATGATACTGGTAACGCCCTCGCCTGGTGGTGAGGAGGAAGCGCCCCTAGGCGCTCGTAGTACCGCTGGGCATGCTGGGAGTGGTAGCCGGGGAGAGTCTGAGGGTCAGCACGATGACCAGCGGCTGACCCTACCTGTGTAAATAATGTCCTAGTAGTTCTAGTGCCCTGTGTAGTCCTGTAAAAGTATAGTGTGTTGTTTGGTAATTACCACCCTAAAGAAGTGTACGTGTTCCGTCAGTCTCCTCATGTGTGTGTATATCCTGTGTTTGGTTTTGTGTGGTTAACA